TATCCACCTCATTTAAAGAGACATTCCTTGTTATGAAGATTCTCCCCAATTTAGCTTATTTACTTTTCACGGCCGGCAGCTGTAAGGTATTTAAGCAATAAAAGTCAGTTCCTCAACAGATAAATAGCTTCAGTTGTAAATTAACCTCTTACAGGGAGCAAAAATCGAAAGTCTCTGTCCTTATCTGCTTCTCTATTTCGGGTGTGACGCAGTGAAAAAAACCCCGATCTGTTCCAGGCTAGAGCCTGTTTGCCGCTTCCGGGATTACACTGTCCAGCCGTTTAAGATTATTTATTTTGTACTCACAAAATGTTGGAACTGATTAGTTCTGTTGGTTCAGTCCTTTATAACATTCTCCTGCTTTCCCCTCCTGCCGCGGGGCTTACAGCTGGGACAGCCATAAAACATGGCGTCGACGGAATCCTTTGTCTGGAGAAAGGATAATCTAAAGAGGTGGTTGCCTTCCACCCCCCCCCCAGAAAACCCCTGCCCTCCTACGACCCAGAGGAGCTTCTCCTGGCTCCCCCTCCCCCCAATTTCTCGGGGGGTGGTGTTGGATTTGCGGCAAGCAGCAGGAATCTGGAGAGCCCAGATTCCCTCGCTGCCTCGCTGTTTGTAGCCCCGCCCCTCTCCCCCTGCATCCGTCATTTTGAAGTACCTTCCTTTTAAGCCTAGAGATTATGCAATCCCCATCATGAATCTGTCCAATCCCCGCCCCTTTTCCAAATCTTTTCAGACTTATGATGACCCTAATTAAGTTTTCAGAGTCTGTAAAATGTTCAAGGTTCACCATTATTACTTCAAAGGATTTGCTGTGGACAAGTGGAGGTTTCATCCCAGTCTCCTGAGTCCCAGGGTTCTAGGACACACTATCCAATAAAGCAGTGAATCTCACACACAACATTCATTTAATTTCCACATTTTGTCCTCTTCTATATGCTTGGAATCTTGGAAGATTCGCTTCCTTGCAAGAATTGAAAAGGAGGCAGAACATGTCATGGGATGAAGAACTCATGTGCCGAGGACATAGCTATCTTACCTTTCTTTCCTGCTTTTGGGTTTTTTCTGTGGCATATGGTTGGCCCCCATGGGAAACAGAATGCTGGACTAGGTAGGGCTTTGGTCTGATCAATCACATCTCTTTTTATGTACACGGGAAGGATGTAGGATATAGAAGAATGGCCTCAAGATGTCAAAGGTCTGGTACAAGTGAGAATAGATACAAGAATGCCTTGAGAGAACTATGTCCTCTCTCTGTTGTCTGGTACAGTGGAAAAGAAATTGATTGGGGAGGAACGGCAGCAGTGGTATAGTACAGTGACTATAGTACAATGACAGAAAGTCAGTTCTCTGTGAAGCAGGAGAGAGGGGGGATGTTCAGCTTTTTAATTTCCTTCTGCCAAACATAAAAGAGGGATGCATGCATGTCCTCCTCTCCTGTAGGACTTACTACCACAAAATGGCCCACTGGCTTTGTCTCTGCTACTTCCATGATGCACTGAATGTGCATACTTGACACCTTTTGGTGAAAAGTATGACACTGTTCATAGAACCACCAGATTGTAGTGCTTGAAGGAATCCTAAAAATCATCAAGTCCAACCCTCTGCTGGAAGTAGGAAGTCCACAGCTACTTATTTATTAATTATATTATTTGTTTATGTTATTTATATGCCACATTTCTCCCCATAGGAGACCCGAGTTGGCTCACAACAAATGCTACTATAAAATAATTAGAGATTTGATATCTGAGGGTAGTGGTTTCCAAATGGATTTTTTTTTAAATTTTCGTCTCCTAAAACCCTATGGACTCAGAATATTGTGGTCCTTTTGCCATGTGTCCATGGTTTTGTGGGCTCAAAGAACAGTCCCCGTGGAACTTTGGCACTGTACAAAAACAAGAATAGAGCAGAATAAATTCCCTATTTTGAGCAAAACAAACTTGCATATCTATATAAATGCGGGGGGGGGCAAGCAAAAGTAACCTTTTCATGCAAAAGTATTTTACATTTTCTTCTTTTCTCTTTTCTGATCATTCTGAGATCAGTTCCACAGCTATTCCTGCACATTTTAATGGCACCTGGAGTCTTGTGAGAAGTGACTTTTTCATATTGCTTAGAAAGGCACAGAATGCACTCTTATCTGGAGACATCTTGCAGAATCTCACAGAAAACTGTTCTGCACAGTCTTGGAGAGATTATGAGGGTTTACTCAATTTTCAACCATGTCCCAGTCCTGCAAAGGCTTCCCTTGACTCTATTTCATATTCACTTGGCAGAATTTATTTAAAATTGCGCAGTCCAGGCCCACAGATGAACACATTCTTCTGATGGCTAAAATTGCTTGTGTATCATTTGCGTGGTAGAGTAAAATTTTAAGATATCTGTGGGTCCCCTTTAGTCTGAAGGAGGCCATAGAGAAGATAATCACATAGTTGGTTGAAAATAATTTTAAACCACAACTATTTAGCAAATGGGTCACCTCATTCAGAGGATTTGCCAAGAATCATTTTAAATATTGCATCCCTGCAATTTATTTTTATTGACAAGTCCTTCTTTCTTGGGGAATGTTGTGCCCTTGGCTAAACTGGGAATAAGAGACATCTTAGCAAAACTGCTTGCTTTTAAATGTCGCACAAAACCTCTCTTGCTAATATTGTTTAAACACTGGCCAGCATAAGCCTACAGTACAGCATGCCTCTAAAATAGAATGAAATAAACATGTCTGGAGTCATAGAATGTGGCAATTTGGAATCATCTTGATTTAGTGGGCAGAGATGGTCATGAGGATGCCAGGCTTCTATACTGGCTTCATCATTGTGTTTATGCTGGGAGATCACTTACTCCTGATGATGCTGAAAGTATGAAACATACTTCCATTGCTGTCTATGAAAGGATCCTCCACCAACCTGCTTATGGTTCAGGCCCACCAGAAAAATGTAAAGTCACTTCAAAACTATTCCATTGTGCAGGAAGGGAACAGTTGCCAGCATGTTTGGGGTACTGTAGGCTACCAGTAGAGGCCTTCAGTGGTGCTAAGATGCTGTTCCTTCACAAGCCAAATAAATAATCATTCTCCAAAAAGAGGTAGATTCTGATTCCAAAATGTCAAGCAGCTTCTCTGTCCCCCTACTGCAATAATGCATATACAGTAAAATGTCCAAAACATTTTGCTGCTTGAAGCAAGAGACAAGATGGTACCAATCTCATAAGCTGAGTGGGCAGGAAGTTGAATATCATTTCAAGACTGGTGAGGGAATTGGGGAAGGTAGCTTGGTGGGAGCCTCCAGAGTAACCCAAGCGTCTAAGACAGTTGTCCTCCAGTCGCTCCATAGCTCCCTATCATCCAGGGTTTGGGGCCTAATTTTGTGACTGATCCCATTCTTTGAGCATATATCTACAAGGATGTCATGTAGGAACCACGTTTCAAAATGGTTAAGAAGGAAGGCAGTGTGGTGGGACAGTATGAACAGTTGTTATCAATCCAGAAGTGTGCAGTGCACCCTAAGTTGCCACTGCCTATAGGCTTTGAATAAGGAAGTACAGCCAGGCATCCGGTGGAGCTGAGTACCTCTTTGCTCACAATCTGCCACTGGCCAAATATGCCCTATACTTCCCATCAGTGTTCCACAGCACTGAATATCCCAGCACATGCAATCTCTTCACGTGTACCAAAGCTGGGAAAAGGGCAACAGGAATTGCCCTGTTTCCCCCAAAATAAGACCTAACCTGAAAATA